CACCACACTGCATGGATTTGAATGTGTTGCATGTGAGTGACTTAATTGTCATCGAGGATAAGGCACGTCGTAGCCGAGAGTATGGGGAAGGCGAACATTCTCACTGCCCTCTCTGCATTACACTCCGCGTGCAGCCTTACTGGCGTCATTAGCTATTCATGTTCCAATATCCCATTTGACATCTCTACGCTGTAAATTAGAGTATCCATTAAACTGCACTCTTAATGCACATAAACAGCTTTTAAGTACACTGGTAAGTGTTTGACAACGCCGGTAAGATCAAGAAGTGGAAGGTCAAGCAGTATAGCCACGTTGATCATTTCTAGGATTGAACACGGTAAAGTACAAGTACAAGAAGGAGCATTGTGGAAAAGGCATAGCTCTAACCAACTTCAGCAGCAATTGTGGCAACCAATTGTGCATTGTTCAATTTCCTCTGCCTGCATACTGCTGGAGTGGTTTTCATTTTGAGTAGCATATGTGCTTTTCTGAAGAACATTTACGTCTACTTTAGTGGAATTTGCCGCCACTCCCACCACTGAGCACACTCACTCCATCCACATGAGTATGCATGCAATTTCTCAGGTAAGCAACTTTGCAAACCACTCATCCTCCAGTAAACACTCTTCATTAATATGTTCCACTGATACGCTTTCATGCTATTCCCACATTCGCACTTTCATTAGGTGTACGCTGGCACATCTATTTTACACATCTGTTAGACGAGCTTACTCAGCACACCAACATGGAATGCACAACGTAGGCAATGCATAGCAGGACAAGACGACTTGCAATATGGGTGACGTGATCCATAACAGTCCACGAAAGTGTTGTCCTCTCTTTCATTCACCTGCAGTTACAAACTCTTTTATCGATGCAACTGGTTCGTTAAAAACTAAAAGGGCAGTAATAACGGGATTTATAATGAGGGTGGATATGGAATATTAGGGAAGGAGGATTGGTATCATTGTCATGAAGTAGAGATGATATCTGAAGCATGCGCTCCTTTTGGCCTATTTCACAATCAAATCAGCGCACAGTCAGGGGCTAAAGTAGAAAAGGCAGGAAAAGATTGCAGATTTTGCCATCGCTTTCTATTAAATAGTTAGTATTTCTATCGCAAAACGGAGTTGGCATTTGTATACGAACCTTGTGTGTACGTGGTTGCACGTTGACTCCGCAAATGCATTGGATACGAACATCCGTGTGGAAGTTAGAATCACGTTTATGACGCGTCATGAAGGAGACTACGTGAGGAAGTTATACAATAAAAGCAAGGCGATTCAGGCAAGGGTTTACCTGTAGTGAAAGCAGGAGTAAGAGTCGGATTCGAGTGACCTCAGTCAAACTCACTCAGAACGTGCCTGCTTCATTATTATCATTTAATGTAACTGAGTTGAACATGAATCGCACCGACGTTAAGGCCACGCGGATGACACGTTGTGACGCAGATTTAGTGAGGTCTGTGACAGCGCCCACTCCCACACACCTGCGTGCGTATCCACACCCGCCACGTGAGCGTGTGCTTCGGTCAATTTAGAATGAGTCATTGGGCCACGTTGACGGCTTTACACGATAGCACAGCATTCATCGTGCCCCAAAATGACAATGAGGAAAAGATCTGCTAGAACTACCACTGCTGGATTGACTGCGATAGCAGTCGCATTGCTTTTTGGTTACGATTCATCCTGCATCAACTTTCTCCATACTTCGGCGCCTATTTCGATTGGCGAATACCAGTTAGCGTCTCATAGCACCAGAATGTTGGCGCAGCCTTACTGGCGTCATTAGCTATTCATGTTCCAATATCCCATTTGACATCTCTACGCTGTAAATTAGAGTATCCATTAAACTGCACTCTTAATGCACATAAACAGCTTTTAAGTACACTGGTAAGTGTTTGACAACGCCGGTAAGATCAAGAAGTGGAAGGTCAAGCAGTATAGCCACGTTGATCATTTCTAGGATTGAACACGGTAAAGTACAAGTACAAGAAGGAGCATTGTGGAAAAGGCATAGCTCTAACCAACTTCAGCAGCAATTGTGGCAACCAATTGTGCATTGTTCAATTTCCTCTGCCTGCATACTGCTGGAGTGGTTTTCATTTTGAGTAGCATATGTGCTTTTCTGAAGAACATTTACGTCTACTTTAGTGGAATTTGCCGCCACTCCCACCACTGAGCACACTCACTCCATCCACATGAGTATGCATGCAATTTCTCAGGTAAGCAACTTTGCAAACCACTCATCCTCCAGTAAACACTCTTCATTAATATGTTCCACTGATACGCTTTCATGCTATTCCCACATTCGCACTTTCATTAGGTGTACGCTGGCACATCTATTTTACACATCTGTTAGACGAGCTTACTCAGCACACCAACATGGAATGCACAACGTAGGCAATGCATAGCAGGACAAGACGACTTGCAATATGGGTGACGTGATCCATAACAGTCCACGAAAGTGTTGTCCTCTCTTTCATTCACCTGCAGTTACAAACTCTTTTATCGATGCAACTGGTTCGTTAAAAACTAAAAGGGCAGTAATAACGGGATTTATAATGAGGGTGGATATGGAATATTAGGGAAGGAGGATTGGTATCATTGTCATGAAGTAGAGATGATATCTGAAGCATGCGCTCCTTTTGGCCTATTTCACAATCAAATCAGCGCACAGTCAGGGGCTAAAGTAGAAAAGGCAGGAAAAGATTGCAGATTTTGCCATCGCTTTCTATTAAATAGTTAGTATTTCTATCGCAAAACGGAGTTGGCATTTGTATACGAACCTTGTGTGTACGTGGTTGCACGTTGACTCCGCAAATGCATTGGATACGAACATCCGTGTGGAAGTTAGAATCACGTTTATGACGCGTCATGAAGGAGACTACGTGAGGAAGTTATACAATAAAAGCAAGGCGATTCAGGCAAGGGTTTACCTGTAGTGAAAGCAGGAGTAAGAGTCGGATTCGAGTGACCTCAGTCAAACTCACTCAGAACGTGCCTGCTTCATTATTATCATTTAATGTAACTGAGTTGAACATGAATCGCACCGACGTTAAGGCCACGCGGATGACACGTTGTGACGCAGATTTAGTGAGGTCTGTGACAGCGCCCACTCCCACACACCTGCGTGCGTATCCACACCCGCCACGTGAGCGTGTGCTTCGGTCAATTTAGAATGAGTCATTGGGCCACGTTGACGGCTTTACACGATAGCACAGCATTCATCGTGCCCCAAAATGACAATGAGGAAAAGATCTGCTAGAACTACCACTGCTGGATTGACTGCGATAGCAGTCGCATTGCTTTTTGGTTACGATTCATCCTGCATCAACTTTCTCCATACTTCGGCGCCTATTTCGATTGGCGAATACCAGTTAGCGTCTCATAGCACCAGAATGTTGGC